TTCGCTTTCGTTTTTTCTGACCTATCTATATTTTCTGTAACTAAATAAGACCGAAAAAGTACCTGATGGAATCCCAAAAACTGCTCGATATTCTCTGATGCATAGTATATTTCTCCATTGTCGTTGATGATCAATAAAAATCCTCCCAGTGACTAAAAATGGATAATTAGCACTACCGCGCATTGTATAAAAAACCTACTTTTAAAGCTATGGTTTCGAAATCTGCCTCATTCGGATCAATGAGAGGTTGTAGGGTCCTTGAATGGCATATTGTAGGAACAGCAGAGTAATGTGAAGTTTGTGGACAGTACGGATACGTGTGTGTTGCCAAAGGGAACTGGCAAATGAAGGGCGAAGAGGTGAGACAAGCTGAAAATGGAAGTTACGGTAAGAAGCAAAAAATTTCCTCAAAGTAGAAAACTGTGTCCATCACTTCACAAAAAAAGATGTCCTATAGATTTCAACGCATAAATCTTGTTCAACAGCAGTTCTTGAACAATTAGTCATTTCAAGAGGTTTATGCGTCTGCGACCTCCGCCCGCGCTGCGCTATTTCCAAAACCGTAGCTGGCCACTTTCGGCCCATCTGTTGCCAGAGCATCTCGTCCAATTAATTATTAACTCAGGCGATTGCGAAGATTCACCCATATTGAGTACTCAAGACATATTGCGCTCGGTCTACCAGCGCTATAAACATATGTTTAGCCATGTTGAAACCGCAAGAAATGCTGGCAGGGAAGAAGTTCCACCACCCCCTAAGTCAAGATCCCTCTCTCCACTACCCCGCTGACCATATGATATGTGTCCATGAACCCCAGTAGTAGTGTCGACGAACGTCAGAAGGTGTGACATGAGCGTGTTTGTCTTGCGAGCGGTTAAGTGGCGGTGTTGAGGGCAGCCATTAAGTCTGACCATGTCTGCATATCGATGACAGCCATCAGCCAGCATTACCGTATCCGTGTGGATGTGATTGATGCACTGCACTCTTACTAATAAGAATAGTCGAAGAAGATCGAACTCGAAGTTTCTG